CTCGCCTGTTTACCTGCAGATGCAGGCCAGGGCATACCAGCGTGAACTAATAACCGCTGAACAGAAGAAGAACGAGGCGTGCCTATTGCAACAACGAGAAGGGAGGAGTATTCAAGAGCGTCGTAAACGTATCGTTACACCACTTCAAAGAGGGCTTTTGCTATCCAACGGAAATAGCTGCAGCTTTTCTGTCAATGTTGTGAGCCCTGCTTGGGGATACATTTGAAACGTTTTGAGACAACATGTTTGTCTCTCTCGCACTTGTCTCTAGCCGCCTTTCGCTAATCGGCCATAAAATGGACCATAAAAAAGATCGCTGGATCGTCGAAAGACTGTTGTTTCATCTGTCAATCTTACATGTAACATACTGCTGTGGGGCACTAGTAACGAACGATTCATCTTTCTTCTAAAAAAAGAGGGAAAAAACAACTGATAAAATTTCGAGATTCAATCCGGTACAGTGATAATATTCGCTGTATTAATATTTTCACGTCGAGAAGCATCTCGTCATGCCGCGTGGACCGCTCTTCTGGCACGAGTTCGCACGTACGCAAGGTAGTGAGCAACGCAGCCTTACACCCCTCCCCTCTCTGCAGGAACCAACTTCGACTAGAAAGTGGAAATGACTGAACCGTGACAAGGTGACAGAATGTCATGGTACGTCCGGCTGGCCTAAAATCAGGCAACTCTCCGGTGAATACTGCACAGTCTTTCATTTCGGGGCAACAGGATCTACCAAGTACCAGCCACACTCCTTGGGTGCATTTGAAGTCGAAGCACACCTGTTTGGACTTTAAATATTCTAATTCTAGTTAAAGAAAGAATCTTTAAAAAATATAGAAGTATAAATAATTACTAAATCCTATCTGTACTAATTTTTATCTATTTTTATTAGGAGATAAAGTTTATATTAAATATTAAAAAGCAGGAAATAAGAAATCTATCGTTTTTATAAAAGGCTTATAGTAAATTATAGTAGGAAGAATAAATTTAAAAACTAGACTTGTTATTTTTTTAAAAAAAAGATCTATTTATTTAGGAGATCTTAATAGATTAGTTTTTACTTTAAATTATATATATAACTTTTTTTAGACTTTAACTATTTCTATTAGAAGAGATATAGAGGAGTGTTGGAGGTGTGTTTAGGTGTAAATTCGTCGTGGTGACAGACTTCTGGAGCCCCATAGCGATGTGACGGTCATCGATATCAACCCAGGATATAATTTGGTACAACACGGGAGAACTTTTGCGGCATTATCAGGATCAAGTCAACGAACCATCCTTATTAGATTGGTACATTGATCCCTCATATCGACGCGAAACAGCCATAGGGACTGCTGTAAGTTTATGGAATGACAATGAGCAAGACCTAGGTACCTACCTAAGTACCTAGGTATGCACGCCAAAAGTGGAACCTCTCAACGCGTCTCACCAGCCAAATCATACACCACACGCGTGCTTCAAGATCCTGGGGCTGAACATACAAATTCTCAGCCTGCTCTGCAATTGCTCCTAGAATACAAGCGACCAATGTCGCCAATAGTCGCCTCCAATGCCTCCGACCTCCACTCCGGCTGGTAAGAAGCAGCAATCCTTGACTTCATTCTTCACGCCAAAGACAGCCTCGAGTCCCAAACAGCCCGCATCGACCCAGTCCCCGACTCCCAGCAAGCCGCCCCGACCGGCTGCAGCTCCGGCGGCCCCTTTGGAACGTAAGCGATCCATTGATGAGTTCGCCGACAAAGAGAACCATGATCTAGATCGAGAATCCAAAAAGCCAAAGACGTCCACCGTCTCCGAGTCCAGTGGCGATGTCCTTCCCGCCGTGCAAACGCCGGTCTCTGCGCGCGCGCAGCGCTACTCGTACAGCGCAGCGCCGACAAGCACAGACCAGACAGAAGCCGACGGTGCTGACGAGGATGAGGCAACAAGGAAGAAATACGCAGAGCTGCATACAAAATTTGTCAAGAAGCTTGGCCATCCCGATGCCATGAACTGGAGAGCACGGCTTGCCCAAGATCATGCGACGGAAGAAAACGAGGATGGCGGTGGTGAAGAAGACGACATGCCGGCAACAAAGTCGAAAAAGAAGGGCTCAAAAACCGGAAAGCTCACGCCAATGGAGCTTCAATTTCTAGAGATCAAGCGCAAGCATCTAGATACAATCCTCATCGTGGAAGTCGGGTACAAATTCCGCTTCTTTGGCGAGGACGCGCGCATCGCCGCCAAAGAGCTTAGCATCGTCTGCATACCTGGAAAAATGCGGTATGACGAGCGTAAGTTGCGGTAGCCTCTGCTTTGTTTAGAAATACCGCTAAAACATCCTCGACGTAGACCCCTCCGAGGCCCATCTTGACCGGTTCGCCTCCGCCAGCATCCCCGTCCACCGACTTCCGGTCCACGCTCGCCGCCTCGTCGCCGCGGGCCACAAGGTCGGCGTCGTCCGCCAAGTCGAGACGGCAGCGCTGAAGAAAGTCGGCGACAATCGAAACGCACCCTTTACCCGCAAGCTCACCAATCTCTACACCAAAGGCACCTATATTGACGAGAATGGCGACTTGGAACAAACCACCACAGGCGGCAATGCATCCTCCTCTGGTGGCTACCTTCTCTGCATCACGGAATCCAAAGCCAAGGGCTCGGGCACCGACGAAAAGGTCGACGTTGGTATCCTCGCCGTGCAGCCCGCCACGGGCGACATTATATACGACACTTTCGACGATGGCTTTATGCGCAGCGAGATTGAGACGAGACTGCTGCACATCTCGCCATGCGAGTTTGTCATTGTCGGCGACCTCACAAAGACAACCGACAAGCTGATACAGCATCTTGCCGGCAGCAGCACCAATGTCTTTGGCGATCGCAGCCGCGTCGAGCGTGTTCCCCGGACGCAAACCATGGCCGCGGAAGCCGCCTCGCACGTCACCCAATTCTACGCCGAGAAGTTAAAAGAAGCCTCAAATTCTCAGAATGAGCAGTCGTCCTCATTGCTGGAAAAGGTCCTTCAACTGCCAGAGCCCGTCACAATCTGTCTTTCTGCCATGATTACTCATCTGACAGAATACGGCCTCGAGCACATCTTTGACCTCACCAAACATTTTGAGAGCTTCAGCACGCGCTCGCACATGCTCGTCAACGGCACCACTCTCGAGTCTCTCGAGGTTTACCGCAACTCGACCGACCACACCGAGCGCGGCAGCCTCTTCTGGGCCATTGACAAGACGCGCACGCGCTTCGGCCGCCGCCTGTTGCGCAAGTGGATCGGCCGGCCGCTCCTCAACCAGGAGCGCCTCGAGGAACGCCTCGCCGCCGTGCAGGAGCTCCACGACAAGCAGTCCACGGCTCCCGTCGACGATCTGGAACGACTACTCGCCAAGACGCGTACCGACCTGGAGCGCAGCCTCATCCGCATCTACTACGGCAAGTGCACACGGCCGGAGTTGCTCTCCGTCCTGCAGGCCCTCCAGCAAATATCCAGTCACTACGTCCGCGTCAAGCGGCCCCAGGACGTGGGTTTTGACGCGCCGCTGCTCGTCGACGCTGTTCTCGCCCTGCCGCAGATCCTCGATCTCGTCGTCTCGTACCTCGATCGCATCAACCTCGACGCCGCGCGCAAGGACGACAAATATGGCTTCTTCCGCGACGAGCACCAGACCGACGACATGCAGGACCACCAGATGGGCATCGCCCACGTCGAGCACCAGCTCGACCAGCACCGCGCTGTCGCCGCCGATAAGCTCCAGCGCAAGAAACCCGTCGACTATGTCACCGTTGCCGGCATCGAGTTCCTCATCGAGGTGCCCAATACTGACATCAAGCGTGTGCCCGCGTCCTGGGCCAAAATCTCGGGCACCAAAAAGGTCTCCCGCTTCCACACCCCCGACGTCGTTCAGCTCATTGCTGAGCGCGACCAGCACCGCGAGGCCCTCGCCGCCGCTTGCGACACCGCCTTCAAAGATCTCCTCGCCTCCCTCGCCGCCGCCTACCAGCCACTGCGCGATGCCGTCTCCGCCCTCGCCACCCTCGACTGCCTGCTCTCCCTCGCCCGCGTCGCCGCTCAGCCCGGCTACACGCGTCCGCGTCTCCTCCCGGTCTCGGCCCCGCCCACTGTCTCCATCACCAATGGCCGCCACCCCATGGCCGAGCAGACCCTCCCCGGCGGCTACATCCCCTTCTCCGCGACCCTCGCCCATCCCGCGCCCCTTGCCCACCTCGTTACCGGCCCCAACATGGGCGGCAAGTCGTCCTTTGTACGCGCCCTTGCCCTTCTCGTCCTCCTCGCCCAGGTCGGCTCCTTTGTCCCCGCCGACGCCCTCGAAATGACCCTCTGCGACGCCGTCCACACCCGCGCCGGCGCTCGCGATAATCTCTTCGCCAGCGAGTCCACCTTCATGGTCGAGGTCTCCGAGACGGCCCGTATCCTCCGCGCCGCTACCCCCCGCAGCCTCGTTATCCTCGACGAGCTTGGCCGGGGCACAAGCACCCACGACGGCGCCGCCATTGCCCACGCGGTCCTGCACCACGTTGTTACTGAAACTCGCTGCCTCACACTCTTCATCACCCACTATCAAAATCTCGCCCGCGTCGCTGACGGCCTCGAGGGGCTGACCAATGTCCACATGAAGTTCAAGGCGGACAAGGGTCCAGACGGGGACGAGGAGATTACTTTCCTCTATGAAGTTGGTGAGGGCGTCGCGCACCGCTCATATGGACTCAACGTGGCTCGGCTGGCGCACATTCCCAAAAAGGTTATTGGCGTGGCGGCGGAAAAGTCAAATGCCATGGAGAGCGAGATGCGCATGCGACGTCTCAAGGGAGCATGTCGCATGCTGGTCGATGCTATCGGTGACGGTCCAGATCAACTCGATAATCTGGTTGCTAGCATAGATCAGCTGTAACTTAAATGTACTGATTGTCATTGTAGACACTTTGTAATAGTGGGAGTATGATTAGGATTAAACAACATAGGCGCCATGTCAAAACAATACCCCGCAAACACCGAATATGCTTCTAATTCTAATTGCCCATGTGAAAATGATAAGATGGAATTGCTGTGAGCCCATTTCAAAACCCTTGCACCAACGCAATATCAATGTCGCAGCGAAATCATATATTGAGAAGGTATCGTTGAGAAATCACACGGCTGATCCTTCACGACTTAGATCTGCGCGCAGGCCGTCAAGCATTGTATCGGCAGACCAGGTACCGTCGGTATCGAAACCAGGTTCGTCGTTGTCAATGTGCAGGCTAGGGCGTACAATGTCGCACAGTTGCGACTCAACTTTAATGTCGTCGGCCGAAATATCTTGCGCATCCACATTCTCTGTCGACTCGGTAATTTCCGGGCCATAATTGATTGCTTTGAATCCAGAAAAGGAGTTTATCTGCTCGTGGCTCTTGCTGCTCGGAGACTGTATATAGCTTTTGAAGAATGGACGCTCGTGGCTCAAGAGTGGGTTGCTCTCTGATACAGTTAAGAAACTAGGACTTGAATTCAGCAGTGACGCTTGCCCAACGAGAGAAAAATAGTCTTCCTGCTTTGGAGTGATGGGATGGTTCTCTTGGCCTTGGGCACGGTCGTAGGCAGAGAAATGGGAGTTCATTGCCATTGCATAGCGTGATGCACCACCAAATGCACCAAGATTGAGAGAATTTGGCGTTTCAGGACGAGGGGGGAAATCTATAAGCCAAGTTAGCTGCCGTTCGGAAAAATGTACAACAATTGGCAATTACTAGATGAAAAATTGTAATGCTTAAAATCTGGTAGTCCGGACGGGTTGTCTTGGCTGTAAGCAAATGTGTCTTTCAAGGTCGCCATCCTTCCAGTCCCAAAGGTTGACGTCGGTTGGGATATGGGATTAGTTGCGGGCAGTGCACGGTGATCGTAATGCAAGCTCCTAGGCAGTTAGTCTCTAGCTGAATGACTTTGGCGATTAACATACTTGGAATTCTGTTGCAGCGAAAGTGGTATTGCTCGGTCGTTGTATACATCTACCAGCTGTTATTAGTGTGCGCACACCACCGACACCCTGGGTGACAAACGAAGTGGGCTTTGTCCGTTGTGAAATATATTTTGTGGCCTTGCAGACTGCCTCGGAGGCAGGCTATTTGTATAAATGTATTCCGGGGCCTGAGTCTGGGTCCTTAACTGCGCAGTTGTTCTTGCGAATAGATTCACATTGGCGTGATTCGGATGCCCGATGGGGATATTGGCCGAGAGGTTTGAGAGCGGCTCACGCTTCTTTCTTGCTCTGGCGGGCCGCTTCGGAGGGGGCGGGGTCTAGATCTATCAGTAAGACGAGTCGGAAGCGCACGGACTTCTGCATACTGTTTCTTCCTGGCCAGGTATCGGAGAAGAACTGTCATACACGCCTTTGACCCGCTCAACTTGGAAATCTGATGTCAAAACTACCTGCGTGGGTTCGATGCCTTCAGAGGTTCGACGCATCTTATCAATCGCAGATTTTGGTTTTCGCTGGTTTCTGGTGCGTTTCATATCTTCGTTGGCCAGATCCTTTTTGCCCATGCCTGGCCATATCTGGCCTTTGAGCGACATGTCATTACTTTGTTGCAGCTCATCTGGCAGTTCCGGACCGTTCTCTTCCGAGAACAATCCTGGGTAAATTGGGATGGCTTCTGCGAAGTTTTGGGTCATGTATTCGTTGGAACCGTTGGTTGCTCGTCTGGATCGCTTTTTGGTCTAGAATCAAAGTCAGAAAGTTTCGGTCTTGTGCAGTACTGATCGTCCTACCCTTGGAGCCGCATTTGCGGGTTTGGTTGTGGCATTTGCACGATAGAGACGACCCTTCATTGCTTCTTTGACCTGCTTCGCTTTCAGACGTTCGACAAGAAGAGACTCAATTCCATTGACTTGATACCATTGTTCGTATTGTTGCAAAGTCACTGCTGCAACCAAATCTTGATGAGCTCTAAGCTTTGTTTGTGTCTCGTGGTGCAAGTGGCCTTTGGAGGCAATGTGTGTGAGCAAATGTGAAACGTCAGAGAATCTGGGAGATACCGGACAGACGGTGCATATAAGAGGTATATTTTTGGGCGTTCCGATTCCATTGTATCCGTCCATGTCCTAGTCAATCTCTTGTTAGCCATTGTGACGACATGGCGCTGGGTCCATACAGAGTGCCAGGTCAGCATCTAGCGGCGAGCGGTAGAACCTGGGACTAATAGCAAGAAGCAAAGAAGCAGCGTGTGTGACAAGGCAGGAAAAGAGCAACTGTTGTGCCGGACGAGCATGAAATTGCAGGAGAGTTCTGCCAGCAATTCCATGGAGTATCGGAGGAAGTAGATGGAAGAGCAGGCTTACCAGAGAAGGCGTACTTTGATGTCAACAGCATCGCCCGGAGTGGTGGAGAAGGCAAGAGGCCCAATTTGATACCAATTAAAGAAGGGGAAGCGCTTCGGTTCGCTTATGCCGAATGCAGAAGCCTTCTGAAAGGCCAAGCTGCGTTAGGTGCAGAAAGGGACAAGAAGCGAGGTACTCATAAGTCTCTGTGGCGTTTTTTTCGGTCCCGAGAGAGCTGGCCTTTTAGTAGCAGGAGGAAATATACAAAGAACATGAATGGCACTTGCTTGATATATGGCCTGTACCTGCAAGTAGCATGTCTTTCGGCCCATCTCGCTTGTCGTTGCCCCAAACGTAACGAAGACGTCTGGTGGGGATAAACGGCGTGGCAGTTGAAGCTGGCCGTTCTCCGGTATGCGGAGCGACGCAATTAGGTATAAATATTCCCTTCGTTTGCATCTTGCTGGCGTACGTTGTTGGATTGAAGATCGACAAAATGCTGGTGAAGTGCAATATAGGCAGGCAGAATTGTCGGCACTATGTAGGTGCGCCTTGAGATGAAGACGAGTTGAGTAATCAAGTCAGCAACCATGAACGCAGTCCATGGAGCCCGGATGTAATTCGTGCCGAGAAAATGCAACTCAATCTGGTGCCTTGACAACTTGGCCAGCTGGCCGTTGACAGCTGGCAGTCAATGTGGGCGCTTGGAGTGGAAACGAGCTGAGCATGGATGGCAATATGGATGCTTTGTGCTTGTAGTTCATTATATTCTGTTCATTTTTTTTTTATGATTTTTATCTTTCAATATTTATTAGCTCAGAGCTTTTTGCGTAATTTTCTTGGGCATGCAGTATCGAGGGTCTACTGGCTCAAGGTCAGGATATCCCAAGAGGCTCAGGCCAGCCAACCCAAAGCACGTGTGAAAGATGTCGACCATGTTTCCGCGGGCATCGGAGAACCCTCCATTCTCGAGATCCTGCGTGCTCAGAATGAAGTTGATAAGCCCCTCACGGTCGATCCAGTGTGTGCGATCAATCATGGCGAGGCTCGACAGCACCCACCAGCTGTAGCATACGTCTTCCGACTTTTCGGGCCTCCCATTCAGTCCACCGCCGGGTAGTTGTCTTTCGCTGAGCCAGCGACCGAGCTTCTCCTTGTCGACGAGGTCAAGACGGTTGGCGATGGAGAGAGCGCCTAGGCACGTAAAGATTTGCGCCGAGTGTGATTCTGCGCCGGGCTTGGCACCGAAGCCACCGTCAAAGTTGGTACAGCTCACGATGAAGTCGACAGCCTTATTAATATCGACAAGATGCAGTAATTTTAGCAGTGACAGAGCGTTGAAAGCTCCGTACAGGAACCGGGTGTCTTCCTCGCCCCACTCGTCGCCAAAAAAGCTGCCAGTTTCGCGATTCTGCAAGTCGGCCATGACTGCACGCGGTGTTAGCTAATCTAGATCGATGGAAGCTTGCTGTTTTAGTGTTCTGGCCAACTGACATTTTCCGACTTGTGCTTTGCCCTGACCCTTACCGCGCGCCTCAAGGTCATCGAGGCCGTCTACCATAGTCAAGACCTGGACAGCACTGACGGTAGAGAGCATGTGCGCGTCGTGACCCGGAGCAGCGCCAAAACCGCCGCTTTCATGCTGACACGACAGGATGAAGTCTATGGTTTCTTGGCGAGGAAGCGCATCGGGGCGGCGCAAGAGATGCAGGGCGTTTAGACCCCAGTAGACACCGTTCAAACGAAGGTGCTCGGTAAGCCAGTAATCAACCTCGTCAGTCCTGGTATCGAGGCTTTGAATATATTTGACATGAGCGTCGGTAGCTAAATGCGGCGGCTCAGTGGCCTTGGTGACCTGAGGCATGCTGTCGGATGATATAGAAAGGTGGTTATAACTGATGCCGCAGATCTAGAGGCTGGAGTTTACGAAGCCTGAAATTTAGGTAAGGTAGCTAAATAATGGCTAATGGAGTTTGTATTTCTGCTCTAACTATACCCGGTTAGGTCTGCGTGGGGTAATTGGCCCACTAAAACTTGCAGGGAGACGGATACAAGCGCTGGATAAAGGCCTGTGATTGCTTAAGGTTTATTCTGCTGGCACCGTTGGTAGCTTCGGCTTGGCGCTAAACATAAAGTAGGGACTGCCATCATGAAATAGATCTTTGAAATAAATTTTCAAATGTTGAAAGGGACTCATTATTTCACTATCTTAGCCTGCTGTAATGCTAAAGGTGCTAGTTGGTAAATCTCGGATATTGGCAGCCAGTATTCGGAACGTTATCCGGATTGGAAGTCTATTTTATTGGGGACTACACTGACTTGGGGTCACGTAGCAAGGGCCAGAACAGAGTTGAGACAATTGCCCAACCTGTTGAAGAGGTTGAAAAAGATCAAGGGGAAGAATAAGCAAATAGCATTCCAACACCATGTTCTTCGCACTGATGAATACCAGATTACGGTAGGTGTTTTACTAGGAAGCCACACAAGAAGACACAGAGCACGCAGCATCGATTGAAGGATCCGTGAATGACAAGGTTCTTCAGCACGCCCTTCCAATAGCGTTTGTGAATTTCGACGATTATATCATCAAGACAGCCATGGAAACGGATCCGAGCAGAGTGGTTCGTGAGCAGGGCCTTACCTTACTCCTGCGACCGTTCTGTCCTCCCTTCCCGTCCCGTCTCGCCACGCCCTGTCAAGAGTTACACCACTGCAGTGAACTGCAATCTCTGGCTGACACGTAGAATGAAATGAGGCGCCTTGCCACACACATCTGAGGTCTGCCATAGTCACGTGCAAGAGGATAAAAAGTCGTTCATCGCTGTGATCTACCCCGCCGTGCTCCTCCTTCTGTCTTCAGCATCACAAAGTCACAGTACACTAATTCGTGTAAATTCTCGAGTAAAGGAAAGATATAATATATATCTGGCTATACGTATGGCATACTACTCCGCCGCTAATGATGGACTTACTAATTTAGAAAAGCCAATCATGTGCTGGGCTAGATGGAAAACCCCCGCGAGATTTCCCGACTGTATAGGGAAAGATCAGAAAAACTGCATCCCATTCGACCCTGCTTATGATCATATCCAGTAGTGTCCTACGGCTAATGCAAGAGGCCATGCGTGTGACCCACCTATCCAGACATCTCAAGCAAGCTCAACTAAGCGCGGACGAAATTGTCCAGCTCATCGAAATTAAGTAGAATGTAAACTATTCCGCTGCCCTAGAAATTGCGTGTTACGAGGTAGATGAAGTCGATTGAAACCAGCCTTTCCTATGCAATCCGCTGCTGACTCAGCATACTGCACCCTTCATTTCATGCCATCTAATCTGTACTTAGAAAGACTCGACCTCAACAACCAACTTTTTTCATACCATTTAATGCGTAGCGCTAACCATCTCGTTCTCTTCTCGTCATGACTTCGCCCTTTCTTGACGCTCAAGGCAACACCATCCCAGATGAGCAGATACTAGGGAGCGGCAGCAGCGCGGTCGTGATTGTTCAGAACGGCGTCGCTGTCAAGCTGCCGCTGCGGTGTCCCTGGTCTACCACTTATGACGTTCAGGCAAGCATCAATAGCATCCAACGCGAGCAGAATGTCTATCGCCGCCTACAGCAGCCACCGGACGATGCCCGGTCAAGTGGTGTAGTGCGCTGCGTTAAGCTTGCCCCTGAGGCCACTCACCTTGCGTACATGGCAAACGGCGATCTGCGGACCTATCTTTCTACGACACGGCCTCCTAGCGAGCTCCAGCTACGGTGGTTTCTCGAGATGGCACAGGCACTTGACTACATTCACGACAGATGTGTGCTTATCGCTGATATTGCTAGTCGAAACTTTCTCCTCGACGCCGATCTATCCCTGAAGATATGTGATTTCTCAGAAGCCTCACTTCTACCCCTCGGCTCAGATATGCTTACCGTGGATGATAATGGCTACACCACGCAGATCGACATTGGCCTACTTGGCACCGTCATGTACGAGATCGTGACGGGCGTTCAGTGCAAAGTCGATCTATACAAGGACAACGATCCGGCCGATGGCCGCGCGTACTGGCCGGCACGGGGCGCACTTCCGGACACGGAGAGCCTTGCCTTCGGTGGCATTATCGAGGGCTGCTGGAGCGGACGCTTTCTGAGCGCAGGCCATCTGTCGCAGGCTTTGAAGGCTCTACGGTTCTCTGTTATGCCCAGCGTCCCATACTGGTTACGTGACTCCGTCATTCAACGACCAATGGTGGCTATCATCGGGGCGCTCGGCGTAGCTATGTATATTTTCATGGCTCGAAGGCAGCGTTCTTGAGTAGAAAACGCTGATTGGGCAAGAACTCCCCTCACAAAGAAGCTGAATAGTGGCGGCTTGCTCTTCATTTCACATTCTGATATCAGTGGCCTGGATCTGTTAATCCAAAACGCACTAATCCATCAGCTTGGTCAAGCTGTGCTGCGGGAAAGCAGACAGGAGCACTCTTGATCCTAGGCCGTTTTACTGTCTATTTTAAGGCATGATGACAGGCAACTCGACTCTGTCGCTGGCGAAAGAACACATCATGCTGGTGACCATGATGCCCCAACACAGGCTTTGATTGGCAACCAGTGTACAGACCACATGTACAGCTCGTAACACAGTAGAGAAACATGTATAAGAGGAAAGGTCTAAGCAACTACAATTCATGAATTCCGTAATATAATTTTATTCGCTTCTATGAATAAGAAGTTGACGCACTGGCCAAGGCAGCTCGACCAAAGACTCGGTGGACCTCTCTCCAGGCGCAATTGTCTTCATTCTCCATGGGCCCTGAAAGCTTTAAGACTCAAACTTTTGTATATTATCAAATGTCACTTACCGTGGCTCGCATCATTCACGAGTATAAGTTCTGCGAACCTAGTGATGTTGCTCTAGAAAAAGCGCGGGGAGTGAAGAAGTTTAGGCTACGAGACTACGCTACAGGTGCAGAAGAGCGCCTTTTTCTTGCGTTTTGCTCTACATTCGTCAGCCTAATGAGAGCTTTTACGACTAGATCAGATTTGCTGTTGAAGGCCAACAACTTCGGACGTAAAACGTAGCGTAGCCCTCTACTCGAGTCGCATTGGATGAGCACGCCCAAAGGACCATGACCCGTGGTCAATAGTACGCAATTCTGCAACAGACTGAGGATCTGTCGATATTCCAGCAGCCTACTCTTTCGCCGTAGTCATCCCGTCACACTTCCACGCAGATCAGTGGTTTTTCCGCCAAAGCTGAACATTTCAATGTCTCGGTTGCATGCTTTAGCCGCGGAACCCGTCCGTACAATAGATCTCAATGAGAGACCTCAATTACACTCTTGATACGGATGTTGGTAAGTCTGTAGATGTGGATGTTGTGACCAGCCTGTGCGGACCTAGAGTGTGATGCCAAATCGGCTGACGCTGCATCCCGCTTTCAAGAATGTCGGTCATGGATGAAGTGCGCGAGTGCCTGCGTAGTCTTGCTGTGAGCTTTGTTCACCAAGCAGTCATCGAGTCGTGAAATCAACAATAGTAACCACGCGGCGAAATGACCAGCAGCTTTCGGTACCGAACATGTAATGACCGAGGGCCAGATTCGCGACATGTGGGCCGTCAACCAGGTGCCACCCCCAGTGGTGGATTACTGCGTCCAGAGTGACTTTGCCTCGCGAAATGCTTCTCAGCACGTAAGGATTGTCGTGTAGGCTTGGGACTAAAATGTGACGTTCCAGCAGCTAGACGAGCATTCATCTACGCCGACCAATGAGCTCTCCCACTTGGGAGTCGGCTCTTTCGTGTATATTCCGATAATCTCTGAAATATCAAATGGATCCTGGCGACGATGTTGGCTATTTTCGAATCCGGGGCCCAAGTCTTCCAGAGGCAGCCCTAAACTGGGCGATCTGGAGCTGTCTTCGCGGGCTTTCTTGGGCGACTGCATCAAAAGAGGACATTTCGATCCTTGTCCAGCCACCTCAAGGCTTTACAGAACTGGTGAGTTTCCGAGTTGGAGAGGAAATAGAGAATAAATTCAAGCTTTTGCGACGCCGGGTCGCTCTTGAGAGAGGGCTATGACATCACGTGGACCCCACCAAACCAGCAGAGGCTTTAGAGGTATGCTGATCTTGCTTACATAAGGTGTTGGTCATGCTCCTACACGGAGCGCACGAGCCCTTGAATATGCACTGACAAGGTCAATGTTGGCAATGTCATACATGGCGGCTGGGCTCGAATGCATGTAGGTATCGAGCATGCATATCTGGTCCCTGGAGGACGTGTGTGGTGCGAGGGAAGCCTGGCGGGATCACGATGGCATGGCGTGTGGATTTGCAACAAATGATGACGAGCATGGATCATGCTGAGACTATTTAGTTTGTTCACATCCTTTGCGAATTTTGCGGATATATTCGTACCTATACGTAGATGTTTAGCTTCATGTGGTTATACACTGGTGTATTAGAAAGTGGGTCGTGCCTCGAGTTGTTTCAGCCAGGCCATGAAGGGCGCTGTAGCGAATGTTGAAGCTACTCCGAAGTTTGGGTAGTCTCGTATACGTCACAGAGAGAATGGCCGTTTGGAGAGGCAGAGAGAAACAAGATAAAAGTGTTAGGGACGCGTGTTCTTCTGTGTAAATTTAATAATGCATTTCGCATTGTCGTGCCTGGATAATTTCGCGTCGTGGATGGTGAAATATGCTTTTAGCTAAGGTACTGAATCTCGCTGGATACCTTTCAGTGCACCGTATTACCAAGCACAAGAAGGTACCCTTTCGGATTTGCTTACCTGCTTGGGCCGCTAGGCATTTACCCCTGGAAACTAAAATTGGGCTGCCACTAGCTGATCTTGTTGTGTTGACCCCTGGAACGTGCCACGTCTAGCCCCACGACGTCCCTGACTGCCCGAGTCCCTGGGAATTTTCAGTGAGTCGTGACTCGTGAGTTGTGAGCCATGAGCCGTGACCATCCATTAATCAGTACTCCGTACGTGAGTAGCAAGTTGGCATTACGGATTGCACTTTCATTTTTCATTCTATCGACTCTTCTCTCACTGTTTCTTAATTAACTGCGCTACCGATACTGCTTGTCTTGTCCCTTTTTTTTTTCTTTTTTCTCTCAACATCTCCCTTGCAGCAAGCACCCTGAAAATCGAAAACGGCTGCTTCCTTTTTTCTCGCCACCGCGTCTGCCTGCCCACCCAAAAACTTGAAGCAAGCCTAGCATATCCGCCCGCCCGCCCACTCACTCCCCTCGCTCCTCGCCCAGTATTTACTAGCTGACCTCGTAACTACCTCCTGGCCCATTTTTGGCGCCTCTCGTTGGTTTGGACTATTCCTGGACACGCCTCATGGAAAAAAGAGGCCTGCTGGTGCGCCTGCTCCTTCTCTACTGGGTTTGAAGCATACTATACCTGCCTCAGGTAGGCAGTCAGTTTTGGCCGCTGCCGTTGCCGTTGCCGTTGCCGTTGCCGCCGCTGCACCTCGCTCCTCGTCGCGCGCGCGTTGCCTCCTCTACCACAAGCATGGGACGAAAGCCCACTCCGCAGCCACTCATGCTGCCAGACTCGGCTGCTGCCCGTCTCGCCCGCGACAATCTCAACACCACCGAACCTGCCGCCTCCAACACACAGAGCCTCGCCTCCATCGACGCCGTATCTGCCCAGACTTCCCTCGACCAGCGCTCTTTTCCCCTCCACCGACCACACACCGCACGCTCGCCTCTCCCGTCCCCAGACCACGACACCGACCCTCGCCAGCATCGCGACAACTATCCTCTCCCCTACTCTTCTGGCACAAATCTCGACTCTCTTCCCGCTGCTTCTCAGCAGTCTTCCCGCCAACCACAGCCAGACGGCAGGAAGCCTTCGCGAACCGGCTTCTTTCACTTTAGCAAGGGGTCTCGGGTGGCCACGCAACCCTTGCCCCCAACGCAGCCTTTTTCTGCCAAACAGCAAGACCACGTCGCCTCCAGCACTCCCGATCCTATTGCCACTGATCACCCCCAAGGTATGTGCTCACTTCTGCCGCTTTTCGCAGTCTGTCCTTCTCGCCGCATCGTTTTGCCCGTTGCCCGCTCGCTTCCTCGTCCTCTTTCACCCTTACCTTACCATTGCTAACGTCTGGCTTTGTCTCCCACACCCTCAGTCTACGCACAAGACGACCTTCAGCGTCCGAATCTGCCATTCACCTCCCAGTCACAAGTCTCACTTTCCTCCGCCGGTGATACCGATAGCGCCTCAACGGCTAGTGGCAAGCCACGCAAGACGAAACCGTTTGGCCTCCTAGGACGCTCCAGATCTAATCGCGACAAGGACCGTCCCAGTCCCAAGCTAGCGCCCGCTACTCTCCCGAATACGCCCAGCATTCCCGTCTCGTACGACAGTTTCGCTCCTTTGAGGACTGCGCCGGTAGCTCAGGATCGCGCTTTCCGCGAAATGATGAATTCCAGCATTCGAAACCGCTCTGAGGACCGTGCTCTCCCTAGGAACGGTACCGCCAGCCGCGAAAATCTTCGCGACCGTGATCGGGACAATCAGCAAAGACTGCAGCCTCCCACTTACAAGGACAACGGGAGCTCAACTTTCCTTAGTGGCTTACGTGGCTCCCGCGCCGTCGACATTTTTAGTAAAGGTTTGTTTGGCAAGAGCACAAGGAGCGGCAGCACAACAGAAAGAGAATCCATCGTCGATGACGAGCACTACGTTTTGAAAGTCATCAATCTTCCTTTGATCCAACAGACGCGGCGTACTCGCATCTCAAAACGACTCGAGCATTCACGCGACAAGACGGAATTCTGGATGCCCGCTTTTCCCTGGCGTGCCATCGACTACCTCAATTACAAAGGCTGCGATGTAGAAGGTCTCTATCGTGTCCCAGGCAGTGGCCCCCAAATAAAGAAATGGCAGCGCCGTTTTGATGAGCGTACGTTGATGACCCCCGCAGCTATGCACAGCCGCCAGTGCTAACTACTTTACCCCAGAATATGATGTCAACCTCTTTGAAGTTGACGATTTATACGATATCAATATTGTTGGCTCCATGCTCAAGGCCTGGCTACGAGAACTGCCAGATGAGCTGTTTCCCAAAGAATCGCAGGATCGCATTGCAAGAGAATGCGCTGGCTCAGAAGAGGTCCCGCAGCTGCTCATTGATGAGCTCGCCAACTTGTCGCCCTTCAACTACTATCTCCTCTTCGCCATCACTTGCCATCTCAGTCTGTTACTTGCTCACTCGGACAAGAACAAGATGGACTTTCGCAATCTGTGCATCTGTTTCCAACCCTGCATGAAGATTGACGCTTTTTGCTTCAAGTTTCTTGTTTGCGACTGGAGGAACTGCTGGAAGGGGTGCAAGAACGAAGCTAAATACATTGAAGAGGAGTACAAGTTGTTTGATCAACCCCCGCCCAGAGGTCTTTCGGAGCCGGCGCAGCTGATCAGCAACCTCGAGTCACGCAATGTATCCTCGTCTGATAGCAACCGGGATGGCAGAGAGGAGTTTCACGATGCTCATGCCACCAGCGGACCACCCAATGACTCGGATTCGGCCAGCGAAAGAACCGGCGATCCAGAAACAAGACCAAAGACGGCCGGCATGCGCCCCTTGTCGCCAATCAAGCCGCTGTCCCCGCTGGGATTCTGAGCACATTACACCTATCGCATAATTCGGTTAAATCATGACTTGACGCCCAACATGCATGCACGCCCTTTCTGCGGCGTGGTCAAAGCTTTTCTTACTCGTTTCACTTCTTCAGCAATAGCAGTATCATTTTGGAACCTCCTTCCTTCCCAGGTGTCCATTCACAAGAACTCTGGACATTGTCTCAGCCTTGGAGGCTTCAGCGCCAGCCACCTACCATTCGCCGTTTGGTATACCCCACATCGCGTTTATCCTTTATATCTGATGCAATTCGCCTACTCTTGCACCTTTTCGTTTTCCGAAACTCGTTTGCTTTCTTTTTTCCCCTTCTCTTCTTTGAACTTATTTCTGGTCTCTGTCTGCTCTGGTCAATCTGCCCTATTGCAGTCCAATGCCAAGCACCGGCGTTAAATATCCGATGGACTTGAGGGAAAGACTGACGGCTCTACGGTATTTTTTCTTTTCATTATTAATGTTTGGCATAGAAAGTGAAGTTGGAGGCAGGGAATTCGATCTTGGTTTTTGCTTGTTTTGATTTCGTTCGTCGTTTGGGAGGATGTTGTGTATGGCTGTGTCGAGTAGTACGATAGATGTCTTCCTCGGCAGGGCCTCGGAGAAGCTGTTGCTTCCCCGGAATGTACAATAAGGTAGAGCAAAAGCAGTCACAATCTGGTACAAGTGCATGGCTTTCTTTTTGATTGAAGTTTTGAGGCGACGGAAAGTAATGATGCAATCCTAATCAATTTAATCAAAGTATCAAGATGAGCCTCTAACAGTCACTTGTTTGTATCAATTCGGTATACATGAGCCGTCGTGCTTTCTTCCCCTCCAAGCAAGTAGATGAAAACAAATTCCCAAGCAACGCCGTAAACATGATTCAAACGCCCGCGCCGTGGTAATGCACAAAGAGTCCAGACAAACTCTGTCCACCCCATCCATAATGCTTTTGACTCTTTTTGGTGTCCCTGTTGCCATCCTCCACTTCCCCCAACACACGTTACTTTTTGAGCTTGGCGCTCTCGGCCGCGTCGCGCATATTCTTGCGCATCTTGCGGTCGTTGCGGCGCACCCTCTCCTTGCGCTCGCGGCGGCCGTCCCCGCGGATGCTCGTCCCCTCTGCGCGCTTGGCCTCGGCCTCGGGATCGACCTCGACGACCCAGTCGTCCTCGCCCTTTTTGTTGAGCCCCTTGTACCCCCACTTGCGCGTCCACTCGCCCGTCGCCTCGTCGTACGCGAGGTTGCGGCGCTGCTCGCGCGTCTTGGGCGCGATGCCCTTCTTGGCCGCGAACCGCTCCCACTTGGTCGGCGGGCGGGCGGCGGGCAGCGGCTTCTCGCGCGGGAGCCGCGTGGACGGGGCAGGCAGCGAGAGGAGCACGCCGTCGCGCGTGGAGCTTGGCGCGCAGGTCGTGAGCAGCTGGTTGATGAGGGACTGCGCGCCGTCGCGGGCGACGGCGGCGAGGGAGGACTCGAGCGAGGTAGGGTCGAGCGTGATGCTGTTGGGGTCCGAGGCGAGGAGGTAGCCCAGGTCAAAGGTGTACGGCGTGGGCTTCTCAACGACCACGGGCAGCTTCGGTTTCGAAGCCGGAATAGACATTTTGCTGTGCGATTGGCTGTTGTTTTCTTTTTGCCGTATTAATATTGGTTTCGGACGAAAAAGTGTGTCTGGCGAGACTAGATTTTTCTTTCTTGTCTAACAAACTCTTCATAGTCCTACGTCTCAGTGACTTTTTTTTTTTTCGATAAGGCTCTTATCGGTGTCGTATCGGATCAACGGCGCTGCATTGTTCCGACGCTTGCGGCCAGCATGTACCTAGCAACTGGCCTAACAGCGCGGAAAGGGCCCCTTGACTGAGCTAACCCCAGTGGCTGGACCGAAGCCTTTTGGATCAACGAGAGATTGCCCATGATTTTTCTACTCAGCTTCAAACCCTCACACGACTCCCTACCACCCGCCAGCCCGCCCCCGGGGCCAGCACCGATAATCAACATCCACCGCCGTCATTGACACCGGTCTCTTTATTCGATTGACGTGCTCAATTCTCCCCATTCGGTCCCCGAGCCGGCCATCATGGCAGCGTCCGCCGCCCACAGCTTCAAGGCGGCGATGCTGCGGCCCTCGCTCCCCCGCGCGCCGCGCCTCACGCCCATCGCCCCCTTCCTCGTCCACCACGCAGCTCCCCTCTCGACGACGCGCAGCCTTGCCGCCGGTCCCGCGGCCAAGAGTCGCCGTGACCTGGCCAAGCCGACCAAGAAGACGTTCAACAGCAAGAAGCGGGCCGGCACCGAAAACGTCAAGAAGCCGGCGCCCGGCGAGCGCAAGGCGTTCCGCAAGCGCATCGTCCTAAGTAGTAACAGCGCCCTGGCTGTCGAGGGCATGCCGCGGCTAGAGGCTGGTGTCGCCGTTGCGGGCGGTGCCATCGTCGAGCTGCCCGATACGGTGGTCGACCAGTTGCGCGCGCTGGGTGCGTTCCGCGCGACACAAAGCTGGGGTCTGTTCAGGAAGCCGCACATCCTGGCGCGCAAGGAGATGGTAGACGTAGTGGCTAGAATGGATGAGGCCGTGGCCAGCAAGGAGGCGGCCAAGCTGATCATCACGGGCAGCCGTGTGTCGGGCAAGAGCACGGCGCTGCTGCAGGCCATGAGCCATGCGCTGACAAACGGCTGGGTAGTGATTAATATTCCCGAAGGTATGCATAGCCCTCTCTTCCTTTTCATTACCTTTTGTAAAGACGGCTCTAACGTGTACCTTTTCCTATAGCCCAGGATCTGGTCCTTGGCCACACAGACTACGTGCCCGTTCCGGACACGGAACCTATGCAATTCACGCAGCCTACTTACACGTTCAACCTCCTGCAAAATATTCTCAAGGCCAACAAGAACGCGCTTGAGAAGCTCAAGGTTGAGCAGAAGTCATCCCTGACGGGCGGTCTGCCCGAGGGCTCCTCGCTCGCCGATCTCATCACCAACATCCGCGAGCCCGACGCCGCCTGGCCCGGCTTCCTGGCCCTCTGGGCCGAGCTCACGCGCCCCGGCCGCCCGCCGGTTCTCTTCGCCCTGGACGGCCTCACCTATGCCAACCTAGACACGGCCTACCGCGACCCGGCCTTTCGCCAGGTCCACGCCCACCAGCTCACGCTCATCGCGCGCTTCTTCGCAGCCCTCTCCGGCGCCGCGCCCATGCCCAACGGCGGCGCCGTCATCGCCGTCGACGGCGCCAGCAACCGCCCCGCGCGCCACCCCTCGGAGGCGCTCGTCCTCGCCCAGCTCGAGGCCGGCCAGGCCGGCCGCGACGTGCCCGCCCCGGACCCTTATCTCCGCGGCTATGACGACAGGGTTTACGACGCGCTCCGTCACTGTCACGTTGTCCGCCTCGAGGGCGTCGGCAAGGACGAGGCCCGCGCTCTCATGGAGTACTGGGGCGCCAGCGGCCTCGTCCGCGGTGTGCTCAGTGCCGAGGCCGTTGCGCAGAAGTGGGCGCTTGGCGGCCACGGCAACATTGGCGAGATGGAGCGCGTGGTGCTGCAGAACCTGAGAATGTAAAATTAGATTGCCGCTCGGATGGCTGAACAGAGCTCGTGGGAAAAACTGTTGTACAATATGGCGTCGCTTTAGGAGTTTTATACATAGAGACAAAGCCACATCTTCTACTTTTTGTATACCTGCCTTTCAGTCTAATAGGAAGGGAGTGGTCCAGTATGAGCATGTCATGTTCAGTTTGAGTCAATGAACTCTGCATAGAGCATCAAGACTAGTTGTCATGAATTCAGATATCGCAGATCTGCACGATTACTTTCCTGCCCAAACGTCCAATCCTCACAGGATTGTCTCCCAAACAAGTCATAAAATCAGAAGAGATAGTAATCCCAAAACGCCAGATTTTCACATCGGTGAAATGAACAAAATAAAACACGCCATCTCATGCCTTTCTTCTCCTGCTCCCATCTCATTTATAGGTCATCCATGTCATCGTTGCCGTCATCACCCGCGGCAGTGACAAAGACAAGCCTCGTGCCGCTACCAGTTGTTTGCCAAACCTGAAAAGTATGTTAGTAAACCCGGCATATGATTGCAAAAAGTTACTCGTCAAACTCACGTCCAGCGTGGTGTACTCTTCCAGCGCATTCATCCATTGGTCCTCGGTGAAGCCCTTTGCAATGACGCGCTCCTTGACTTTTCTCATGCTCAGCTCAACGCCCAGCTCATCATCCTCAGCGTCGTCTGCGCGGCACGCGCCCGAGTCGGCGAGCGCTTTGACGAGGTTGTAAATGCGGCTGCTGGCGTTGAGGCCGCGACGGCCGTTGCCGTAGTCAAAGTTGAGGCTGTCCTTGGAGGCCTCGATCAGGCGCAGGGCCTCGTCGACGTCGTCCTGGGTGACTACCTCGCTGAAGCGGAGACGGGCCAGGGCCTGCGCGAGGCGCACGACGCCGAGCAGTGTACGCGGCGTGGTGTGAGTGAACTGCTTGCCCTTCTTCTCGGCGCGCTGCTGCTGATCGCGCATGCGGACGTAGGTTCGAATCATGTACTCGGTCACGGACTCGGGCACGACGGGCCGGTAGGTGCGCGCCTGGGCAACGTACGAACGGACCTCGTGCGGAGAAAAGACGACGTTGTCGGTACCAATGTCGGGGTGGCGGTTGTTCATGTGCACAAAGGCAACGTGCTTGGCGAGCTGCTCGTCCGACTCGCGGTTGGGAACGTCTAGCAGCAGGAAGATGATGTCGAAACGCGACAGAAGCGCGGCGGGGAGGTTGATGTTCTCGACCGGAGAGATGCGCGGGTTGTAGCGGCCGTAGATGGGGTTAGCCGCCGCGAGGATGGAGGTGCGGGCGTTGAGGGTGGTAGAGATGCCAGCCTTGGAAATAGAAATGGTCTGCTGTTCCATGACTTCGTGGATGGCGGTACGGTCATTCTCGTCCATCTTGTCGAATTCATCGATGCAGCAGATGCCATTGTCCGCAAGAACAAGAGCACCGCCCTCCAAAACCATTTCATCGGTGACTGGGTCTCTCATGACAGCGGCCGTGAGACCGACACCACTGCTACCGCGGCCGGAAGTGTAGACACCACGAGGGGCAACCTTGGAGATATACTTTAGGAGCTGGGACTTGGCCACACCAGGGTCACCCATCATGCAAATGTTGAGGTCTCCCCTGATCTTCATACCGTCACCCATCTCCTTACCTACGCCACCGATGAGTAGAAGAAGAAGCGCCTTTTTAACATCAAGATGGCCGTAGATTTCGGGCGCAATAGACTTGGCAAGGAGCTCATATACTTGACCAGTCTGTCTGTACTTGTCAATGCGCCGCACCAACGAAGGGTCCACAATCATCTCGCTATAGGCTTTCTTGTGCTGGCGAATGTGGTGAGCCTCCAGGTATGTATCGGTCAGAAGACCGGCCTTCATAGCCTTGAAGCCGGTATAGGGCGTGGGGAGGAAAATGCCAGAGATATCGACGACATCACCAGGGTTCACGCGACGCACGAGGCTGCCGTAGCAGTGAACAGTGAGAGACCGAGGGATTTGACCGATGGGGACTTGCTCGGCCATTTCCTGGACCTTGACTTCCTGGAAAGGGAGAAATTTAGAAGCACGCGTCGAAGGGTTAAGCTGTCCCTTGGACTGGTTGTTCTTGCAGTCGGCCGACGGGCACATCATTAGAGGACCGTACTGCCTGTCCGTGACGGGCTGGAAAATTTCGCAACCGCATCGGTCGCAAGTGTATGCGCTGACTTGCACAATGGGCTTGACATCGGAGACTCTGGTGACAATGGCGCGAATGGTGATGAGATGGCCCAGATTATCACCACGGACGTGGCGCACGGCGAGGGCCTTGGAGGCAACGTCGGGGCCGTTGACACGAGGCTTGAAGACCAGCGTGTATCGGCGAGTCAGTTCGGCAGGGAACTTGTCCTCTTCGAGGGTGGGATCACGCTCGGCAGCCTCCTCAAGCTCGCGGTTTCGCGCTTGGCGGCGCGCCATCAACACGTCGAGGACATCGTCTTTGAAGTTGACATCCGAACTAGGCAGAGGCATGACTTTATCCACAGCTTGAGACATTATGTCGACATAATGCTTTGTGTTTAGCTCGATGGAGTCGACGAGCTTCAGTCCCTCTCCAGTTTCATTTTCCCATGCAGCCAAGTCATCAAGATCAATAACAATCTCTTCTTGCGTACGGTTGGCCAACTTCTGCATAATCTCCTGGTATTTGTAGTGAGGAGCGCGCCTGTGTTCCCTGTCGCGGCGGCGGCGCTCGCCTGACTCGTCGTCGTCATCCATGAAATCGTATTCGTCGCTCAAGTCGTCCTCATCAATGGTGATGTTTCCCATGGCTGTGGTGATTGTGTGCTCGGGGGTGGTCTTGAAATCCTTGAGGAAGACCTCAAACGCATCTTTCAAAGCTATTAGCAGGGCGCGGGCGCATGCTAGCTACATCAGCGCGCAAAACCTACTTTGATGCGTCTCATAATTGACGATTGCCTTGTATTCGCGGAGCGCCATGATGGGCGGTTGTGATGTGCAATCTCAGCAAGCGATTCGGTCGGTCGCTTCAGCTGCGGAAAAGACTGAGATGAAGCAGAGTTGCGAATGCGAAAATTAGAGGTTGCTCCGAGTTATACAGGCTCATGCACAAGTCGAGGAATTTGGTGGGGGCTGGGAGACGGATGGCAGGGAGGCCGAATGCCAGCTACCCAGCGCGCTCTGGACGCGTAGCATCGCGTTTTCGCGTTGGAGCGCCACAAAATCCATTAAACTGGTTGTGCCACTTGTGGCACAGCATCAGCTCCCATCACCGGGCACCAGTGGCCGCGAGCATCTAAGGACGGGCCCAAGAACGGGCCCACTACACGTGCCGCTTACCTCGGCCACTGGCCGGAAGTCGGAATCTGGGGAACCTACAAACGCAAAGCTTAAGTCGTGCTCCTGCAAAGCTTTTTGCGCAGACCTCCAGTCAAGCCGTGGCCAGCTGCAATACAGCCGCACTCTTGCAACATGGCTCCTAGAAGGAATGCGCAATCGGTCAATGCCGAGCTCTCGATTGTTCATCTAAAGAACTGCTTGGTCAACCTTCCCCCCACCTTGGTGTCGCTGCTCGTCAATGTGAACACGGTACGTCTAGCTCGCCCGAGGCCATTGAGCTTTACTGACCTTGACTAACCTATGTTTACTTCAGCCTGCTCAGAATGTCGTCGTCGAGCTCACCTTCCGCGGCCCCGCACCGGGAACACAGTCGTCGTCAGGCACACATGAGCGATCGGTCTTTGTCGGTTGGACGGGCATGCCAAGCAAGCGACGAACTGCAGCTCCTGTTAACCGCGACACTGGAAGAATCTCATCGCGCGATCAAGATGTTCAGCTTGTCGAAATTGACGCCACGCTGGCTCACACACTCGGCCTCAGCGATGGCCAAAAAAGCATGGCCACGGTTCACGTCGACCCCCCAATCGCACATACCATCAACATTGAGCCAATGACCCCCGAAGACTGGGAGATCATTGAGCTTCACGCGACCTTTCTCGAACTCAATCTGCAATCGCAAATCCGTGCGCTGCCGAATCCAGCCTACACAGGCTCGGGCGACAAGCCAATCCCTCCACATCCTCTCACGCTCCATCTCTCTCCGACTTCGACAGCCAATATCAAAATCATCTCTCTCGACCCCGCACCTCCCTCAAGCGCGCCATTTGCGAAGCTGTCTCCTAATGCAGAAGTCATTGTGGCTCCCAAGACTCGCGCTAAGCAAACTCAGAGCAGCAGCGACCACAGAAGCGTCGCCAGCACCTCACGATCGAGACGCAGTGCCACGAGCACCGTTCGCAAAAAGGGCGCAAGAGAGGAACCGAAGCCGACCATGTTTCTTCGTGCGATCGACAGATCATACTGCGCAGATTGGTTCGATGTCACCGCCCCAATCCAGGATCTCGTGGTCTGGGTCGATCGCGACCGTCTTTTCACCAACGAATTTCGCGGGGTCAACTTTGTCATCGTCGATGTGATCCGCCCCGCTGGCCTACAAAAACCCCAACCTGAAGGAGAAGCCGCACAAGCTCAAACGCCTGCCTCGTCAAAAGTTATTGCACGGCTTTTACCATGGGACGACCCTCCGAATGGGCAAGCTGCGGCGCTTTCAGCACCTCTCTGCGCTTCACTCGGATGTACTGGTATCGTTGGCGGCGTAATCAAGCTTCAGGCTGCGCCACAGCAACTAGGGCGCAACGCTGTTCAGGTTGTCAGAGTCTTTCCCTTTGCCGCGAGCACGAAATCGACCGAAGGCTTGCGCTTCGGCAGTGAAACAAAGGCAGAAAAGGAAGAGTCGGCAAAGCGATTCAGGCACATCTACGCCGGCTCCAAGGAGAAGCCTGGTCTTCTGCAAGGTCCTGTAACGGACGGTATTGTTGTTGGCTTGTACGAAGGGCTTGACGCGCCCCAGGGTTGGGAAGGTGGCATCATCCGATTTGAATATGGATCCGACCATGAGCAGACAAAAGACTCAACAAATTGGCTCGCCGGTATGGACCACAAACTGCAAATCGAATTTCAGCCTCCGGTGCCTCGGCCCTCTTGGATTCTTGGGTCTGACGAATTCGAGCTTCAATCAGCACATGATTCTGCGCTTGTCGGTATCAGCAACCTGCTTACAAACCTGGAATCGCACCTCTCACACCTTTCTTCCGTTCTGTTGACAGGAACTATGGGTTCTGGTAAAACGGCAGTGGCAAAACACATGGCCGAGAAGCTGCGCAAAGACACACTCTTTTACACGGTCTACTTTTCAGGCCGAAAGCTTGTCACAGATGAGACGAGAATATCGACTATCCGAGAGACACTCGAGCGCCTGTTCATGTCTGCCAGCTGGGGAGCTCGATTAGGAGGCAAAGGTATCGTGATTCTAGATGATCTCGACAAGCTTTGCCCTGTCGAGACGGAGCTCCAGGTTGGCAACGATAACGGACGAAGTCGCCAAGTCAGCGAAGCGGTACGATCGATAGTGCGACAGTACTGCACACGCGACAGCAACATTGTTCTTCTGGCTACTGCCGAAGGCAAAGACTCTCTCAACAACGTGGTCATCAGCGGCCACGTCGTGCGAGAGATTGTGGAGCTCAAGGCACCGGATAAGGAA